GGGGGGGGGTGATGGCGAGATTGCGTAGAGAGGTTGCAGGTTTGTCTTCATTATGTCTTTCAATGAGGAGGATCCCCTGTTTGTTGAGATACGGTGGCCATAGAGGGATGCGATACGCAGCACAAAGGCGCAAGGTAAAGCGGGGGCGATGCGTCAAACAGGAGGAAATCCCACCAACAAGGGCGCCGCGGCTTAGAAAACGCTGTTCTTGATTTAAAAAAAAAAAAATGGAGCTTTCAGCCATTCGTGATGAAGGTTTATTATTAAATTCGATGTAAAAATAGTTTTATAGTAGATTGTCGCCCTGGAGCTCCTAAAGGCAGCAGATCGGAGGACATCTCGGTTGTTGCGCAGATTAACAAGCCACTGTGCCAATGAGGGGGTGGGACAGATCCTGATATAAGACATACAGATTGATATCCTGATATGAATCGACATTAAAAGAACAGTATAAAGCCTTAAACTTCAGCTGGCGGTCGCCCTTATGTCTGGGCACTGGCTGCAGGCTCTCTGTGTGCAGCCTCCTCTGCCTGTTGACTGACAGCTCTGCTGCACTGCAGTGATTCCTCCACGGCTTCCCTTCGCTTTGTCACCCTGCTCCTGTCATACATCAGCCCCTAACATGAAGATTATATCTCAGCCTTACTGCGCATCTGAAACCTCCCATTTGCCTATCTGTCTGCGACTGGCACCGTGCACCAAGCAACCAGCGACGGCAGTGTCGGCTCTTTACGCACGACTGTGGCGGCGGCGGTGGCGGCTGCGGTGATGCTCGATCCGGCCCTTTGTTGTCCCCCGACACTCCCTGTAATTAACCGTGACTGTTATTATACAGAGTCAAGCCTTCATGTACAAAAAGTGTATGCCAAGAGATTTGCCTGTGCTTTTATTTTGACAGCTTCGATATCACGAGTGGGGAATGGAGGAGGTTTAGTTGGTATTTGCGGTTAAAGGCAACAGTTTAGTCAAAGATTAGAACAAATGTGATAATAATATACACATAAGCTTGATATCCAGCTGGAAAACAATAGGATCCATGTCTATGTCAGAACAAAATGTTCTCATACAGTCTAAACAGCACCAGTACTGCGCGTCACCTGCACACGGTAATACCCCTAAATTAACATTATGCTATAAAGTTTCCCTTTGCCACTGTAACTAAGAAAGTCCACATGTTCATATCAGCCCAGAGAACATATGAAAACATGTTGTGGCTGCTGCTCTTTGTGGATGTGTGCAGCCTCGCAGAGCCACAGTCGCATATGTAAAGCAGAACTAGTTTGAACTGGATCATCAGAGGCAACCTGCTATTGATAAGGCTGCATCCACCCCCACTCCCTCCCTCTTCCTCAAGGTATCCCCCTCCCCCTCCTGCCATCATAGAGCTGCCGTGGGGGGATGAGGAGGAGGAGGATGAAGAGGAGGAGGCATATAACAAGCAGAGTGAAGAAGAGTCCTCACATACTTTGCTCAACCCGGACATTTGCTCTAAAAAAATAAATAATGCGCAAGAAAAATGTTTTTTTTCTGCGCATCAGCATCTGTTCCGCAGCGGTTCTCACCATGCCGACCGGGTGGAAGATGCTCTGAGCATGCGCAGTGCTTCTTCTTGGTTGACTCCCGGCGGTGCTGCCTTCAAGTGCTGTCGGTAATGTCGCCGCCATGAAATGAGCGCACACAAACGGCACAGTTGTAAAAATCTAATTTTCTCAGACGAATAAGCAAATAATGGAAAATAACTATACCTATGATAACCCCACACATTTATCAGTGAGACTTCATTTTTTAATAATAATTTTGCACTGCAGTCGCAAGTCTGTGCCACGATTTTGGACATCCACCAAATCATTCTTCTGTCCCATAGTCTGCTTTTTATTTTCCTGAACATCATCACATGAAAAATAATAACCCCATTCAGTGAAACATATAAATACATTTCATGGAAAATAACATACAGTGGAGATTGATTGTTCCTCATTGCGCTTTGTGTGTCCAAACTGTGCAGTAATAATTGTGATTGTGTTTTCAGGCCTGTAATGAGAGCGGCAGGTGTTTGTTTTGATAGTGTGCTGTAATTTGTGACTGGAGAAGGTTTACGTCACCAAGGTTGTGAAGTAACCTTAACTCGAGGCTGCCTCCAACCTGCATTACTATTGTTTATACTACATTTAGCAGTCTTGAGGAGATTTCCATAGATTAGTCACAAAGGGTTTGTGAATGACGAATTAAGAATGTGAATGAAGGATGCCAAAAGAAAAATCAGGTAGTTGGAAGGTGTTTTCAGGTGTTTTTTGAAGAACTGGCGCTGAAACATGACTAGACACACACTTGTCCATCATGTCATGCCAAGATGTCGACGTGGCGTTGTTCACCCTGCGTGTCTGCTCATGATACAGCTTACATAAAGGAGGTTTCATCCCTGGAAGACTTGGTGTGCAGTCTACAACTTGGAGTCAAATGTTTCAAAAGAAAACATCTAGTGGTGGACCAGTGTGTAGGATGTAGTGGCATCTAGCGGTAAAGTTTTAAATTGCAACCAACTGACCACCGCTCGGGCCGTATTTGACAACCTGTTCTATATACCACCAGTGTCACTGGTGTTTTAAGCTCTTTAAACATAAATACAATATGAAATGTGATGTGAGGTTTGTAGAGTATTCTTTCTTTTTATTCAGTCAGTTAATGGATAGTTCAGGTTCTTCTGCTGGCGCCTCACTGGGTCCTTCAACACATTCATCACTTAATCTCAAATGTGTGTTTGACTGACACATCAGCTAATAAGGGGAGCAACAGTTGTAAGACACATAACAGCTTCGAAATAAGGTTTTTTTTTGTAACAGCTACACAGCAGCGACAAAAAAAAAAAAAACGTGTCAAATCTTTAGCCAGTGTTATTATTCCTGACAGCTTGAAAATGCACTGATCACATGAACTGGTTTACAGGGAGCAGTACAATACAAAACAGCAGTTCAAATACGATCATGTGTTTCTATGAAAAGGGACACAGAAACATTGTCACATGTCTAAATGATGTGACTAATAAAAGCTCTTAAACGTCAGAAGTGAGTGTGAATGGATCTTCATGGTGTAGTTGAAAATGCTTCAAACATCATGACCCTGAATCAGAAGTGAGAAGGAATGAGACCAGCACGTCCAGCATTCATTTACGCTTTGTTCTTTCTTTACCAAAGAAAACAATTCCTCTTTTACACACTATAGCTGCCCAGTACACACCAGAAAACAACAACCTCCCACGCTATGAACTAATACTATAAGCTGTACATGTATTAATCTGCACTATTAGCATTCT